CTTTGTCTTCAATGTATCTTATGGTTTCTGGTCTGATGTTGAGGTCTTTAATCCATTTTGATCTTACCTTTGTACATGGTGTTAGGCAGAGTTCTGAGCCCATTTTTTTGCATATAGCCGTCCAGTGATGCCAGCACAATTTGTTAAAGAGGCTTTCCTTACTCCACTTCACATTTCTTGCACCTTTATCAAAGATTAGATGATCATATGATTGGGGGGAGATGTCAGTGTATTCAACTCTGTTCCATTGGTCTGCAGTTCTGCCTTTGTTCCAGTACCATGCTGTTTTGATTATTACCGCTTTGTAGTAAAGTTTGAAGTTAGGGAGGTTGATTCCTCCCATTTTCTTTTTCCCCAGAATTGCTTTAGCTATTCGTGGGGGTTTATTGTTCCATATAAATTTCAGGAGTGTTTGCTCCATTTCTTTGAAGAATGTCATGGGTATCCTTATAGGAATTGCATTGAATTTGTACAGTGCTTTCGGTAGTATTGCCATTTTGACAATGTTAAGTCTTCCGACCCATGAGCAGGGGATGTCTTTCCATTTCCTCATGTCCTCTTTTATTTCCTGAAGTAGCGTTTTGTAGTTTTCTTTGTACAGGTCCTTTACTTCCTTAGTTAAGCTGATTCCTAGGTACTTGATTTTCTGGGGCACAATTGTGAACGGGATTGATTTTTTCATATAGCTTTCCTCTCTCTCACTGTTTGCGTATAGGAAAGCCATGGACTTTTGGGAATTGATTTTATAACCTGCAACTTTACTATACAAGTCTATTGTTTCTAGGAGTTTTTTGGTGGAGGTTATTGGGTTCTCTAAGTATAGTATCATATCATCTGCGAATAGTGAGAGCTTTATTTCTTCCTTTCCTACCTGAATGCCCTTAATGTCTTTTTCTTGCCTAATTGCTATTGCAAGTACTTCCAGTACTATATTGAACAGCAGTGGAGAGAGTGGGCATCCTTGTCTCGTCCCTGATCTTAGAGGGAAGGCTCTCAGTTTTTCCCCATTGAGGATGATGCTTGCTGTAGGCTTGTGGTAGATGGCTTTAACTATGTTGAGGAAAGTCCCCTCTATGCCCATTTTGGCTAGGGTTTTCATCATAAAGGGGTGCTGGATCTTGTCAAATGCTTTCTCTGCATCTATTGATATGATCATATGCTTTTTATCTTTGCTTTTGTTGATATGATGGATTATGTTGATTGATTTCCGAATGTTGAACCATCCTTGCATCCCTGGGATGAATCCTACTTGGTCATGGTGTATGATCTTTTTGATGAGTAGTTGGATTCTATTTGCTAGTAGTTTGTTGAGGATCTTTGCATCTGTGTTCATCAGGGATATCGGCCTGTAGTTCTCTTTCTTTGTGTTATCTCTGTCTGCTTTTGGTATCAGTGTGATATTTGCTTCATAGAAACTGTTCAGAAGTGTATTTGATATTTCAATTTCATGGAAAAGCTTAAAGAGGATTGGGAGTAAGTCTTCTTTAAATATTTGGAAGAATTCACTATTGAATCCATCCGGGCCAGGGCTTTTGTGCTTGGGGAGACTTTTTATTACCATTTCAATTTCCTTGATGGTGATAGGTCTGTTCAGGTATTCCAGGCCTTCTTGGTTCAGCCTTGGGAGTCTGTAGGAGTCTAGGAATTTATCCATTTCCTCGAGGTTTTGATGTTCTGTGGCATAAAGCTTTTCAAAGTACTCCCTGAGGATCCTTTGAATTTCTGTAGTTTCTGTTGTAATGACCCCCTTTTTATTTCTGATTCGGTTTATTAGGGTTTTCTCTCTCCCTTTCTTTGTGAGTTTTGCTAGGGGCTTATCGATTTTGTTAATTTTCTCAAAGAACCAGCTCTTGGTTTCATTGATCTTTCGGATTGTTTTCTGGGTTTCCATCTCGTTAATCTCTGCTCTGAGTTTTATTATTTCCTTCCTCCTGTTAGGGTTGTGCTCCTTTTGTTGGTCCTTCTCCAAGTTCTTAAGCTGTGAGGTTAGTTTATTTATGTGGGCTCGCTCCTCCTTTCTGAGGAATGCTTGTAGAGCTATAAACTTTCCTCTTAAGACTGCTTTTGCTGTGTCCCATAAATTTTGGTAACTCGTGTCCTCATTTTCATTCGTTTCTAGGAATCTTTTGATTTCCTCTTTAATTTCCTGTCTAAGCCACTCGTTGTTTAATAGCGCACTGTTTAATTTCCATGTGTTTAATTTAGTTTTCTGTTTTTGTGTGTGATTTACTTCTAATTTCAGCGCATATATGCTGGTATTCTTAAGGATGCCTTTGTCTGGAGTTTTTCTGACAGAGGTGGGGGGTGGTCAGGTGTCAAAGGAACAGCTTTGGAGTTTCTGGTGAATATCTTTCAGGACCTTAATTGGTCTCTAATTCTGCTGCTGTCATCTCTGCAGGGGTCCAGCCTCCTCAGGGTCTGTTACAGACTGACACCAGTTCTCCATGAGGTCAGGGCTACTACTTTCCAGGAAATTTAGCCATACCTTGGGAGGCGCCTTCCCTATCTGCCTGCCTGCCTACATCACATTCAGCACTGTGTTTTCATGAATCACAAATAATGATGGATGGATTAGAATATTCCATTCCTTTTATTTCATTCCATGCATCAGTTACATTTTAGTTCTCTATTTTTAAAATTTTTTGGTTTTGAGGCCTCACTTGGTGGTTCTCAGGATTGGTTCTTTCTTCTGTGCTCAGGACTCACTCCCAACAGTGCTCAAAGGACCATGTGTGGTGCTTGGGATCCAATCCAAGTTGGCCACATGCAAGGCAAGTGTCTTATAACTATTTTTTATTTATCTCTCTGATCCTTTAGCTGTCTTTTTAAAAGGTGATGGATATATTTTTAAATTTTTATAATTGAATCACTGTGAGAGAGTTCCTTACAAAGCTCTTTATGACTGGAGTTCAGTCAGTCAGTGTTCCAACACCTATTGCTTCACCAGTGTACATTTCCCAGCACTGATGTCCCCAGCTTCCATGCCACCAACTGTCCCCTCAATCTCCCTCTATGGTAGGCACTTCTGTTTTCCGACTGTGTGTCTGTCTCTATCTCTGTCTCTCTGTCTCTCTCTGTCTCTCTGTCTCTGTCTGTCTGTCTGTCTGTCTGTCTCTCTCTCTCTCTCTCTCTCTCTCTCCCACTCTCTCTCTCTCCCTTCAAGACATTATAGTTTGCAGTACAGGTACTGAAAGGTTATTATGTTTGTCCCTTTACTCACTGTTTAAGTCGGTTTATGTGAGGCGGGGAGGTGAGAGGTGCTCACTTTCTCCCGATCCGCCTCTGCAACCCCCAGACTCAGCTGGGAAGACTAGGACTGATAAAGTCTGCGATGAGCCCCTGCTTGGCGTGAGCCAGACATCACCCCCTCCCACACCTGCCAGCCCCACCAGGTGGCCGTCAAGCCACACCAGACATTCACTTGATCTTCTCCACACGGGAGTTGATCCCCACCACCAGATTTCTTGGGGAGCTGTGGACTGAGGCTGGAGCGAGGAATCACTCTTTGCAGGAAAGGAAAGTCAGTCCTAAGCCTCACCCAGGGTTTCCAGGTACTTTGTCCTATATTGCAGAAAAGAATCTCAGGAGTAGACAGCAGTGAGGTGAAAATAGATTTTTTTAAATTAATTTTTTATCTTTTAATTTTTTGGGTCACACCCAGAGATGCTTGGGGTTACTCCTGTCTCTGCACTCAGGAATTACTCAGATGCTTGGGGTCACTCCTGGCTCTACAGAGGAATTACTCATAGCGTTGCTCAGGCAACCATATGGGATGCTGGGAATTGAACTTGGGTCAGCCACATGCAAGACAACCGCCCTCCCTGCTGTGCTATCACTCCGGCCCGTAAAAACAGATTTTACATGGAGATTTTGAGGAAGGGGAAGAAGAGAGAAAAAAAGAGGAAGAGAGACAAACTAATGCTCTCATCTGGGGCCTGGGGCTTAGGACATTCTCTAACTGTGCTTCCAGAACACAAGGGTGGCCTCTGTTCTAATTCTAATTTGGGGGTTAGGGTCAAGTAGTGAAGAAGCCTAATCAAACTAAGGTCCCTTCTAAAATGTTAACTATAAGACTTAGCCCTTTCGTAGGGACTCCAAAGGAGGCCACATGACCAATTTCTATCTCCTACACATTTTTGAAAGCCATTTAAGTCATCAGTTATAATTTAGCCTTTTGTTGGCCTGATTTTCCATTCTTATTAATAAATATCCAAGATACTGAATTGGATACCTGAATTTTATGAGGAGCTATGCAAAACCCTCTCTCAGCCCTTTGTTCTTTTAATACTGAAATAATAGCTGTTAGCTGTTCGTTTGCAGGGAGGGGGATTGGGTACCTCCTAAGATCCCATCCATACAATGGACCAGTGAAGCAAAGGGGACAGGTTCCTGTAAGGCCAGGCCAACAAAATGCTGACAAATGCTAGGACTGTTTAACATGCCTTCAGACAGGACCCTTCACTGGCTTCTGGCTGCCTCTGATCCATTTAGCACTGGAATGGTAAATGCAAACTCCTCCTTATTTTTTCCTGCTTGAGTTATGGTAAAGGCCCTCCCGTTGATCGTCGATTTGCTCGAGCGGGCCCAGTAACGTCTCCATTGGAGACTTTGTTGTTACTGTGTCTGGCATATCGAATACTCTCGGTAGCTTGCCGGGCTCTCCGAGAGGGGCGGAGGAATCGAACTCGGGTCGGCCATGTTGGCCGCTTGTAAGGCGACCGCCCTACCCGCTGTGCTATCGCTCCAGCCCAGTTATGGTAAAGAAACAGCCCCTTAAATCAATAACCATATGACCAACCCCTGCAGGCTGGAAAGATCCCATGGATTGAATTATAGCGCCACTTTTTCTCAAATCAGCCAGTATTCTTCATTTTCCCAACTTCGTTTTCTGTTCCCAAGACAGGGGACTTCCCTGGACTGTGGGAAAGCTTAGTATGTCCCCCTTTTCTAATTGCTTTTTCCCCAAGTTCCTCTTATGCATTTGATTTCTCTTTATTCAGGGGATTTCCGCACCAAGGGTGTGGGATGCAGACAGGAAGCAACTGATATTAAATTTGGATACTCAGCCCAGTTTGAGTTACCATATGAACAGTTTGATGGGGTGGTGAAAATTGAGGAATGCTCTATGTGCTCCTCCACCCTGAACAGTGTAACCATGTCTTGTTCCCTTTGAAAGCTGGACAGGATGCGCAATGACTGTTTCACTGTGGGTTGCAGTTCATCTTGTATGCGCTTAACTGACACACCGGAAGGAAGTTCTAGGGTATCAATGTTATTGCTGTCTTTGATTCATGAGTCAAGGATTTGAGACCTCCTCCCACCATGCAGTGCACAGGGAGTAGCACAAAAGCTGTTTGTCCATCTCTCTATTTGACTTTGGTGGCCCTCACTAAATTTGGGAGAAGGTAAGGTGCAACATCTCTGCTAATTTCCAGAGACCCTTCTTCCTGAAAAGCTCGAGAAAATGAAAATAATCAGGGATGCTCCCTACCAGCAGAGGGTGCACACACCCCACACATAACTAAGGATTTCTCTGATGAAGTTGAATTTAAATATAAAATATTTTGTCTATGTTAAGTCAAATGAATGCATTAAAAACTGAAATTTAGGGACTGGAGAGATAGCACAGCGGGTAGGGCATTTGCCTTGCACGCGGCTGACCCAGGTTCGATTCCCAGCATCCCATATGCCAGGAGTAATTCTTGAGTGCAGAACCAGGAGTAACCCCTGAGCATCGCTTGGTATGACCCAAAAAGCAAATAAAATAAAATAAAAATACAAAAATAAATAACTGAAATTTAGCCTTCTCAAAAATCAAAGTGGATACATGTATGACACTTCTAGTGCTCCCATATGTGAGATACCAACTAATTGGAGGTGACATCTCTATCCATCAGGAAACACAAGGGATAGCCCTGATGATTCCATACACCTGACTTCTAACAAGACCTCTTAGAATATCTCCTACCGGTGGGAAATCTGCATCCTGCCCAGGTCAGCCTCCTGCAGGGAAATGGTCTCAGAGGTCAAATGGTCTCAGAGGGAGAAATGAAACGGGGGTTAATGAGCAGACACGGGGAGGCTGTAAATATCTCCTGTTCTGCTCAGCTCTTCAGTTGATTCAGCCTGGGCTGGTCAGAACAGGATTGTTACAGTGGAATTGTGAGTGTGTTGCGGGAAGCCAGGTTTGCATCCTTCCTGCTGATCCAGCTGGCTACCATCTCCATCCTCAACCATTTAGGGAGTAATTTGGGTTTCCACTCAGTATTTTTCTTGCAACCTCACTCAGGTGAGTAAACACTGCAGTGATGCCGTAAATGCGCATGGTGTAAATGATGCAGGGGAAGGTGGGAGAGAATGAAAAGTGAGAACACTGCTTGTCTCGGATGGATGCCAGGATGCACAGATAATGGCTTTTGTGGATGCTCTGGATGATGATTTGACTAATCAAAATTGATGCATTACTTGCAGAGACCCAAAGGTATTAGTAAGACTGTATTCAGTGAAAGTAGAGTGACTGAGGGAAATACAGAAGATGGAATAGAAATTTACAATGGTCCAGGACAGAGGAGATGACCCAAAGGAGTGGAGCACGTGCTTCTCATGTGGCGAGCCAGGCTAAACTTCCTGCACCACAAGCTCCTCTGAGCAGGACTTGGAGTGACCCTGAGCACTGAGTCAGGAGTGCCTCCCCGCAGTCCTAGTCCCCAAAATGAAATCTTGGTGTTTCTATTTTTTTTCTTTTTGGGTCACATCTGGCGATGCACAGGGGTCACTCCTGGCTCTGAACTCAGGAATTACCCCTGGTGGTGCTCAGGGGATGCTGGGAATCGAACCCGTGTCGGCCACGTGCAAGGAAACCACCCTACCCGCTGTGCTATCACTCCAGCTCCTTGCCTTCAAGTATTATTAGCATTGTTTAGTTTTTGTGTCTTCCCTAAAGCTGAGGGATGCACCTCACTTACCATCTTCTTTCCTTTCCTAGCACTCAGAATGAATTTCCCTCTGGCCAGAGAGATAAGATAGTGGGAAGCACTCTTGCCTTGCACCACAGCCAGCCTTGGTTCAGTGAGCCTAGCCAGGAGGGATCCCTCAGCAAAGTGAGGAGAAAGCCCCTAGCACAGCAAGATGTGCCACCAAAACAAAAAAGAATGAATGTCCATCTAAAACCCCAGTGCAATGGGATTTATTATTTAGATAACCCATATTAGTTCCTGGTATGGAAGTCAGACCTTTGATGGTGTTTTAAGGGGTTTACAAATATTACATATTTGCCGATACAGCCAAATAGTTTGTTGACTAAAATGTTTTTTTTTCTCAGATTGGTTATTTTCAGAGAGAAGGGGGGGGGGAGATTCCTAGAACTATTTTAGTTGCAATATTACGGAGGGTGGATGGAAGCTAGGGATACTCTGATCATCCTCCAGGTTCCCAAGTGTGATCAAGATAGAGATTCAATTGCCCTAAAAACAATGTTATTGTTAACATTGAAATATTTTCAAATTGTTAATCCTCTTCACAATCTTGCCAAAGAGTTACGTGCTCTTTGCTATTAGAATTCTAACCCAACCCATGTATCATTCATAGTTTTCATAATGGTTTCAGTCATATGATGGTCCAAAACCATCTCACCACCAGTGTCCACTTCCCTCCATCAATATCCCCAGGTTTCTCCCCACCCCACAGCTGCCTCCTTGACAGGTATATTTTTAAGTTTGATTGCTGTAGTTTGGATCTCTTGCTTGCAGTATTGTTGGCTCTGTAGTTTACCCGGGTTGGCCGCGTGCAAGGCAAATGCCCTACCCGCTGTGCTATCGCTCCAGCCCCTTTTTTACCTTTTTGGCTTCAGTGTCATGGAGGGTTTTGCCAACTTTGTCTAACAAGTTTTTTTTTCAAATCACCTTCATTTCCTTCCTTCCTTCCCCCCCTTTTTGGGTCACACCCAGAGACGCACAGGGGTTACTCCTGGCTCATGCACTCAGGAATTACTCCTGACAATGAGCAGGGGATCATACAAGATGCTGGAAATCAACCTGGGTCGTCTGCGTGCAAGGCAAAAGCTCTACCCGCTGTGCTATCACTCCAACCTCCCACCTTCATTTCTGATTGCAGTTTTCTCTTTTCGACTCTCATGCTTCTTTTATTGTGGTTATTGTTGCTTGTGAGCCACACTGAGTGATGCTCAGGGGTTACTTTTGGTTCTGTGCTCAGGAATTACTCTTGGCAGTGCTTGGGGGATTGTATGGGACTAAGTCAGCAGCATGCAGGCAAGTACCCACCCACTGAACTATTGCTCCATTCCCCCTCATACTTTCTTGAGCTTTGCTGACTATCTGTACCATTGTTTCTTGGAGCTCATTGGATACCCTCATCACACTGTCACTAGAGTCTTTTTCTGAGGGGTCCAGAGCTGGTTGGGGTTGGTTCTGCCTTCCACGTTGTTGTCTTCGCTCATTGAACTTGGTGGGTTTCTCTGCGTCTTTCCCATTAGTTTTCCAGTCCAGTGTTCCTGCTGTGCCGAGGGTTACTGTTGTCTTTCGCACCCCCCTACCCCCACTCGCGAAAGTCTGTGAGAGTCTCTGAAGGATTAGCTTGGGAGTTGCTCTCTTCCTTTCCTGCTCTTCATCAGCCAGTGACAGGAAGTCAAACTGCGAGCAGTGAGAAATGTGGAGAAGAGCAGAGGAGGGGGGCTCTTGGCAACGGCAGAGGTCGGTTGTGGGCGCTGCTGGGATCTAGCCCGAAGAGAGAGGCTTTTCCGGTTTCCTTCCTTCCTTCCTTCCTTCCTTCCTTCCTTCCTTCCTTCCTTCCTTCCTCCCTCCCTCCCTCCCTTCCTCTCTCCCTCCCTCCTTCCCTCCCTTCCTTCCTTTATCACACCCAGCAGTATCCAGGGGTTACTCCTGGCTCTGTACTCAGGGATCCACTCTTGCAGTGGTTGGGTGACCCTATGGGATGCTGGATGCTGGGGATGGAACCAGGGTCGGCCGCATGCAAGGCAAACGCCCTCTCCACTGTACTATCGCTGTGGTCCCATCTGCTGGCCATGCCCAGTAGGGTCAATGATCTCAACCAGAGGTTCATCTCACCTGGAAGGATGGAGCAAAGGGCTGAGGTTAGAGGCTGTGGCGAGAGCCCATGAATACAGCACAGGGAGCACATTCCAGCTCTCATTCCTCACTTTTGTTTTGGGGGGTGGTGGGGGGCTCCCAAGTGCTTAGGCAGCCTGGGGGCCACTCTGGTGATTTCCCTGTGATGTTTGGGATCACTTGGACCACCCAGGCAGTGCTTGGGCCTCCAGGGCTGCAGCTAGTGATGCCCATGCACGCGGGGCGGGGAGGAAAGCCGGGTTGGGTGAGAGCAAGATCTGTCTTCAACTCTGTGCTCTCTCTCCAGCCCCCACCCATTCATCTTTGTTTTAATTTTGTTTTTGGACCATAGCCAGTGATGCTCAGGGTTTCCTCCTGGCTCTGTGCTCAGGGATCACTCCTGGTGGGGCTTGGGGGACCACATGGGGTGGTGAGGATGGAACCCCAGTTGGCCGTGTGCAAAGCAAGCACGCTCCCCTCTGGCCTGTGGCTGAGGCTTGCAGAGCTTGTGAATGTTTGTGTGTGCTTGGTTCTGGGGCCATATGTGTCAGTTCCTGAGGGCCACCCCAGATTTGTCCTCGGGGTCCAGATGATCAAACCGGGGCCTCCTAGATGCAAAGCATGTGCTCCGGCCCTTTCACCTATCTTCCCAGTCCCAAAAGATCATAGACATTTTACCTTTTTGGGGGGTGCCACATCCGGTGGTGCTCAGAGGTTCCCCCTGACTCTGCACTCAGGAATTAATCCTGGTGGTGCTTCAGGGACCATAAGGGATGCTGGGGATCGAATTTGAGATGGTTGTGTGCAAGGCAAGCATCGCACCCCATGTACTATGGCTCCAGCCCTATATACATTTTACTGTGGGGAAAAAAACACAACTCTTGAAAGTAGAGCTGGCTTCAGGAATAGCTTGATCCAGGAGAGTGCAGCTTCAATAAGGGAGGTTGTTCCTGACAGTCTCCCAACGGGGCTACCCTGAGGCTTTGCACCCCTCTGTCCCTTTAGCTCACTTCTCCCAGTCACAGGGACACCATCATCTCTCTGTTCCCCTTGTCCCCCAGTTCCTGTGTCTGAAGAACATTCAGACTTTCTTGTCTACCTGCTGTGAGAAGTTTGGCCTCAAGCGGAGTGAACTGTTCGAGGCTTTTGATCCCTTTGATGTTCAGGACTTCGGGAAGGTGAGTGGGGCAGGGAGATTGGATCTGCTCCGCGGAACAGCTGGGCTGCTCCAGTTAAGAGTCTGTGTGCTTGCATGCGAGCACATGTGTGCATGCAATTATGTGTGGTGTGTGTGCCTGTGTTTGTGTGTCTGTGTGTGTGCACGTGCTTTTTTGGGGGCTTTTTTGGGTCACACCCAGCAATGCCCAGGGGTTGCTCCTGGCTTTGCACTCAGAAATTCCCCCTGGTGGTGCTTAGGGGACCATATGGGATGCTGGGAATCGAACCCGGGTCAGCCGCGTGCAATAGTTCCAGTCCCAACACGTACTTTTATACGTATTGGATGTGTGTTCGTGTGTTAATGTGCATGCATGTGTGTGCGTGTGGTGCGTGTGCATGCAAGCCAGGATACACTGTATGACAACATCTTGGGATAAGTGGAAGAGTGTTCCACCCCCTGCCCTCTCCCTTGCTGAAGGACCTCAGTGACAGATGTTCGTGTCTCTCTGAGCCCTTGGTCCCCATCTGTCACGGAGGATAAGTGTCATGCCCCCATGTGGTTAAGATGGAATAGGAGGTGGGCTTGGAGCGTAGAGGCACAGTTGAGGCTAACTCGGGTGGGGGGTTCCTGACTCAGAGACCTGGGGGCTCGGCCCTGGGGCTAGTCTTGGCGCTATATGTCAGAGGCTGTGTTCTGGCCAGTGGGTGGCAGAGGTTGGCAGACTGACAGCCACGACCCTTGTCACAGGTCATCAGGACCCTGTCTGCTCTGTCCCAGGCCCCCATCGCTCTGCGCAAGGGGATCGCGTGAGTAACCCTCTGAGATGAGAGCCTGGGGCTCACCGCCAATGATCCCCCCTCCTCCCTTCCTCACCCCTCCCCTTTTCTCCTCCCCTCCCCCTCTCTTCCATCCTCCTCCTCTCCCTCCTCCCCCTCCTCCCCTTGCCCTTTCTCCCTCTTTCTCCCCTTCCCCATCTTCCCTCCCCCCCCCCCCCCCCCGCCCTGGGACCACCTCCCAACTCACCCCGTCCCTGTCCCCCGGCGCGGCGCGCACAGGCCCTTTTCTGATGAAGATGTGGCTGACGATGACATCTACAGTGGACTGTCCGACCAGATCGAGTGAGGGGCAGGGGCCGCAGCCCGGGGTCGGTTCTGGCGGGTGCGGGGGTACTGGTGGGGAATTCGGATCAGCAGCGAATTCTCCAAATCCTTTTCGTGTCCTTATTCCCTCACGGCCCTGAGGGAATAAGGACACGAAAAGGATTTGGAGGGTTTGCAGGATTTGGAGGCTGGAGCGCTAGCAGAGCAGCAGGGCCTGGCAAGCTCCCCCATGCCATAGTATCCCATGTATTCCCGAGGCCAAACACACAACAACCCAATTCCCAAAATGAAGACGTTACTGGCTCCGCTCGTGCAAATCCAGGAACTGCGGGAGGACAGCGCGGTGCTAACGCAACGGGAATCCTGGAGCACTAACAGAGCGGCAGGGCTCTGTCCATTGGCAGAGTTCTCAGCTTGCCAGGATTTGCCCTGCGGGGCAGAGACTCTGGGGAGCTTGCGGGTCTCCGGAGAGAGGGGCAGAGGAGTGCAAGCCGGCAAGGCGGGGCCGGCTGTGGCTGTGAGGAAGACGAGAAAGGCGAAGCCTCCAAATCCTGCAAACCCTCCAAATCCTTTTCGTGTCCTCATTCCCTCAAGGCCGTGGGGTTCATAATGACCGTGTAGTGAAGGGGGTGACAGATGGCCACAAAGAGGTCATAGACCATCACAGTCAGGAGAAGGTTGTCCAGCCCAGCAAGGAGGATGGAAAAATACATCTGGACGATGCAGCCCTCATAGCTGATGGCTTTGCTGCATGTCTGGATGTTACACAGCATCTTGGGGATGGTGTTGGAGGTGAAGCAGATGTCCACAAAGGACATGTTGGACAGGAAGAAGTACATGGGCGTGTGGAGGTGGGGGTCTGAGTTGATGGCCAGGATGAGGAGCAGGTTCCCCAGTACATGGACAGGAAGAGCCCGAATAAAAAGGGCTCCAATGTGGCTTCCTCTGAAAATCGCAGAAGAAGAAATTGTATGGTTCCTGTCAGGTTTTGTGGGTCCATGGGGTGGAGGGGATTCTAGAATTGGACAAAAGATGAGGATTATTGGGGCTGGAGAGATTACACAGTGGGTAGGGTGTTTGCCTTGTACGCGGCCGGCCCGGGTTCGATTCCCAGCATTCCATAGGGTCCCCTGAGCACCGCCAGGAGTAGCTCCTGAGTGCAGAGCCAGGAGTAACCCCTGTGCATTGCCAGGTGTGACCCCAAAAGCAAAAAAAAAGATGATGATTATTTTCCAGATAAACAGGATTATTTTCTACTTATTTTTCTCAGTTTCAGTTCCCGCATAGGGTGATTAGAGGCCACCCCAAAAGCCTCTATACCTCTCGGAAAGACTGGCAAGCTACCGAGAGTATTCCGCCCGCACGGAAGAGCCTGGCAAGCTATCCGCTGTGTATTCGATATGCCAAAACCAGTAACTACAACTGGTCTCATTCACCTGACCCTGAAGGCTTCACCGACATGGCAGCACTGAGAAGGATGAGAAAGGAGAGGCCGACAAAATCTCAAGGCCGACCTAGGCTGCCACAACGAAGGAAGACAAAAATGATCGTCTGTACTTTCAATGCACGTACGCTAGCATCAGATGCATCCATCGAGGACCTGATGGTACAAGCGCGAATGATCAAGTACGACATCATTGGTCTGACCGAGACAAGAAGGCACGAATCTCACCATGCTGTTTTCGACACCGGAGAAGAATTGATCCTCGGAACATGCGATAAAAGAGGTGTTGGAGGCGTCCGTGTCCTTGTCAACACAAACTTGGCCAAGAGCATTGATTCATTCGAATGCCTAACAACCCGAATCGGACGTTTACATTTGAATAGATGTGGCTCACTGCCTGCAGTTTCTATCTTCGTTGTCTACGCACCAACATCTCATTATGATGAAAGAGAAATCGAGAAGTTCTACATGGAGCTAGAGAAGTTCTATAAAGAAGACCACACCTTCTACAAGATCATTGTGGGTGATTTTAATGCCAAGATAGGACCGAGAAGATCAGCTGAAGAACTTCACATCGGGACCCATGGCCTAGAATGGAACGAACAGGGTGAGAGACTGTCTGAGTTCATCATGTCGACCAAGACCATTCATGGTAACTCACAGTTCCAGAAGGCAGAATCTAAACGATGGACATGGGAGTCTCCCGGTGGACGATTCCACAACGAAATAGACCACATCATATTCAATCGACGGTTTTGCCTGACTGATGTCGCTGTTGTCCCAAAATTTCAAACGGGATCGGACCACCGTCTCCTTCGTGCAAAATTCTACTTCACAGAGCGGGGAGAAAGGGCTGCAAAGTTCAAAAAGAGAACTCCCAGAATGACCACCAACTGGGAACTCTTTGGTACTATTGCGGCAACATGGGAAGATGCCATTGTTGACAACATTGACGAGGAATACGATCGACTGGTTCAGCACCTCCATGAATGTGCGAGGAACGCCAAGAGAGAGATAGCCACAAAAAGTCGCCTATCTTCGAAAACTCTTGAGCTAATTCGCCAGCGTGGTTTGGCGCATGCCTCAGGCAACCGCAAGCTAACGTCCGAGCTTGCAAAGCAGTGCAGAGATGCGATCAAGGAAGACCTCAAAGAGAGAAGAGCAGAAGTACTGATAGATGCGGCAGAAGCCGGGAAAAGTATTCGTAACGCCCGCCTGTCCTTCGCCAACTATAAGACCAAGATGACTGCCCTCCGACGTCCTGATGGATCCATCACATCCTCCAGAACGGCAATGGAGAAGATTATCCATGACTTCTACTCAAATCTCTTCGATAGCCATGTCCACTTGCCGACATACCAAATTCCACAGGATGGGTATGTCGTTCCTAATGTTCTCCCTTCCGAAATCCGACACGCCATTTCGTTGGTAAAGAAGCAAACAGCACCCGGCCCAGACAAGGTCAGACCTGAACACCTGAAGAACCTGCCGTCAGTACTCATCAATACACTGGCTCGGCTCTTCACTCGCTACCTGTCTGAATGCAAGGTTCCGTCCCAATGGAAAACCAGCAGGACCGTACTACTGTTCAAGAAGGGAGACATCCATGACATTGGCAACTATCGCCCGATCTGCCTATTGTCTGTCATCTACAAGCTGTTCACTCGAGTCATCCTGAATAGGATTGGCAGAACACTAGATGAAGGACAACCATGCGAGCAAGCAGGGTTCCGCAAAGGATTCAGCACCATCGACCATATCCACACGGTAACCAAGCTCATTGAGGTTTCTCGGGAGTTCAAGATGCCGCTCTGCTTAACGTTCATTGATTTAAAGAAGGCCTTTGATTCTGTTGAGACGGAAGCGGTCATTGAAGCCCTAGCCAATCAGGGCATTCAAGCCCAATACATCAGGATCCTCCGTGAGCTGTATTGCAGATTCACTACCAGGATCTCACCATTCTACAAAGAAGTGATCGTTGATGTCAAGAGAGGGGTGCGGCAGGGTGATACCATTTCACCGAAACTCTTCAGTGCCACCCTCGAGAACATCATGCGACGACTGGAATGGGAAGGAATGGGAGTGAAGATAGATGGTCGGCAACTACACCACCTCCGCTTTGCTGATGACATTGTTTTAATAACACCAAACATCAGCCAAGCGGCACAAATGCTGGCCGACTTTGACCGTGAGTGTGGAAAGGTAGGACTACAGCTGAATCTTACGAAGACAATGTTTATGAGAAACAGCCTTGTTCCTGACGCCCCATTCGCTCTCAATGGAACGACCATCTCCGAATGCAACAGCTATGTGTACCTAGGTCGAGAGGTCAACATGAGAAATGACCTGGCACCCGAGCTGCGCAGGAGGAAGAGAGCGGCTTGGAACGCCTTCAAGAACGTCGAAGAAATAGCTAAGAGGACGAAGAACCTCCGGCTCCGGACACATCTCTTTGATTCCACTGTTCTTCCTGCATTAACATATGCCTCAGAGACCTGGGCCCTATGCAAACAAGATGAGAACGCCATTCAGGTCTCCCAAAGAAGAATAGAAAGAGCTATGCTTGGAATAACACGTTTCACTCAAATGAGAGAACGAATCCGGAGTTCTGACATCCGTCGACGATCAAGGATCAGGGACGCTGTCTCATATGCCAAGGTGTCGAAAATCAGATGGGCTGGTCACGTAATGAGATTTAAAGACGACCGTTGGACTAGAGCTGTTACTGATTGGATTCCACGGGATGTCAAGAGACCGCGTGGCCGCCCACCTACCAGATGGTCAGACTTCTTTGTCAAGATCATGAACGATCGGTTTGAGGCCCTCCATGTTCCCGGAGCGAAGAGATGCCATTGGGCTACACTAGCACGCGACAGGGACAAATGGAGACGTTACTGGCGCCCGCTCGAGCAAATCGACGACTAACGGGAAGTTAAGTTAAGTGATTAAGTGATTATTTTTCTCATTGAGGTGATGATGCAATAAAGAGCATTTGTTTTCAAGGAACAGTTTTACACCTTTTCTAAATATATACCACAATACCATTTTCATTAAAGACATTATTTGGCTTGCATGAATGACTTTTATTGACCTTTGAAATCAAGAAAGTCATTTCAGGGACTGCACAGTGGGTAGGGCATTTGCCTTGCATGCAGCCAACCTGGGTTCGATTCTCAGCATCCCATATGGTCCCCTGAACACCGCCAGTGGTAATTCCTGAGCGCAGAGCCAGGAGTAACCCCTGAGCATCGATGGATGTGACTCCC